CAACCCCCTGAGGCCAGGGAAATAGGATGAGCTAACAACACCCTGTTCCTTACAGAGGGCCTGGTGTGCCCATGTCTGTAGTCACACAGCCTGGGTGAGGAGTCACAGCAGAGACACCTTATGAGCCAGCGTCCCAGAATATCGAGGTCAGAGGACAGCTTTGGGGGTCATCCTTTCCTTCCACCTCGCTTGAGGCAAGGTCTCTCGTGTTGGGGCGCTGAGGTGTACTCCAGGGTAGCACCAGAGACCTTCTCTCAGTTCTCCTGTCTCTCGGGTGCTGACGTCACAGTGCTCGCCACTGCATCTAGCTTCTTCTGTGGGTTTGGGGGCTCTCGCTTGGGGTGTACGGTTTGCATCACAGGAGGTTTACCTTCGAGCATCTCCCTAGCCCTCCTCCTTCCCTCCTCTCTGTAAATTTCTGTTTATTACTGTGTGTGTACCTATCATATGTCACACACACATACATATATGATGCATGTCTACGTATTCACAGGTCAGGGGACAACTTCATGACTTCTCTTCTTCCACCTTTATGGGTTCTAGGAATTAAACTCAGTTGTAGGCTTTCATTGTTGGGGAGCAAGCACATTGTTGTCTGAGGACGGGTATAACTCTGCTTTTATTTTTCTGAGACAGGGCCTCATATAACCCAGGTTACTGCTCACCGTGGTCCTCCTGCCTCTACTTCCCAAGCGCTAGAATTACAGGTGTGCACCACGATATCCAGCTATTTTCATGTGTGAGATAATCTTTTAAAATGTTCGTGTGTGGGGGAAGGGGCACGTAGGCGTGTGATTACACACATGGAGGCCGGAGGACAACCTCGGTGGCAGGTCTTCAGAGTGCTGCTGTGACAGGACACCCTGGCAAAGCAGCTTAGGTGAGAAAGCCTTCGTTGGGTTACGGTTCCCGGTTACAGCCCACCGTGCGGATGCCACAGCCACAGGAGCTCCCGAGGGTGGGTGGCTCATGGCAGGCACATCCGCAGCCCAGAGAAGAGAGGACGTCTGCACCCCCACTGCCCATATAGTCCTCCCACTCCTGTACAGTCCAGGGCTCCACCAGGGAATGGTGCTGCCCACTGTCACATCCATTACCCACAGATATCTCACAAGCCAGCCTGCTCTAACCAGGTGATCTGGGTTGTGTCTAGTAGACAGGTAAGCTAACCGTCACATCTTCCAAGTCTTCCATCTTTTGTTTGAGAGAGTCTCTCACTGGCCTGGAACTCCACCAAGTATGCCAGACTACTTGACCCTGAGTCACACCCCTCCGCACCTGCCTCGTTCTCTCTCTCTCTCTCTCTCTCTCTCTCTGCATTTGGTCAGGCAGTGGTGGTGGCACATGCCTTTAATCCCAGCACTCAGGAGGCAGAGGGATTTCTGAATTCAAGGCCAGCCTAGTTTAAGAGTAAGTTCCAGGACAGCCAGGGCTACACAGAGAAACGCCGTCTCAGAAAAAACAGAAAAAGAAAACAAAAGTGTATTTTGTTTCCTTATGAGTCTCTTAAGGGCTGAGAAATGGCGTCCTTTTACCCCAAGTCCTCCTGGCGTATTGCCCAAGGAGACAGCGTCTAGCAACACCCCGGAAGGTAGTGTCGGTGACTGTACTGTTATCTGGTAAACTGTTTACAGCCAGCAACTATCAACTGTCCCCGCGTGCTCTTCATGACACGCCCCTTCCCTACTCCAGGACCACACGTGGCCAGCAAATGCACCTCCAAGCCCTTCTCTGTTTTATCTGTGTGTGCGTGCCTGCGTGTGTGTGTGTGTGTGTGTGTGTGTGTGTGTGAGAGAGAGAGAGAGAGAGAGAGAGAGAGAGAGAGGGGTCAAAGAACACCTGGGGTGTTGCTCCTCCCCTTCTATCCTGTTTGAGACAGGGTCTCTTGTTGCTCTTGTGCTGGCTTAGCTGGCCTGCACACTTCCGTTTCCAGGGGTTTCCTCCATCTGCCTTTCATCTCGCCATCAGAGTGCTAGCATTACATGTCGGCACTCACTACTGCTTCCAGCTCTATGCGGGTTCTAGAGTGTTGGAACTCAGGCCTTGCGCTCACACAGCAAGCACTTGCCCGCAGACCACCTCCCCATCCCCAAACCCTCTTCGTGAGACTTTGCCTCAGTTCCTAGACTCTTGAGAGGACGATGAGAATTGGGCAACCCCGAGGGTGATACAATGTACGCCTCCACTGTCCACACGGAGCTGGTCCCCATCCAGGCCTGTCTGTAGGCTGCAGCCGGCTGGGTCCCATAAGCAAAAGAGGAAACTGTTTTTCTGAGGCTGAGATTCAAATGAGCTTGAATTTGCCTCCTCTTGAGAGCATTGGAAGCAGCTGCTAAGAACTGAAACCATGAGATATGAGAGGGGAAAATGGGCTTGCGGATCTGGGGACAGCTTGGTTTGTATGCGCGCGTGCGTGTGCATACACACACACACACACACGGTACATATATATGTACTCAGGCACATGCAACACACAAAAGTAAGAATTCTGAAGAAAGCAAACAAGTGGCACGTGCCTTATGCAGTGGAGGTGGAGGAGAGGGAGGGCAGACAGCCTTGCTTGGGTGGTTTAGGACAGCAGCAGGCCAGCAGTAGGACCTGGCACGGGCAGCGGGTGGCCCCTTCCTTCCATCCTATGCCATGAGCCCAGTGCTTTCTGGACATTGCTTCATTGATTCTTCATGGCCTCCTTGGATGGGCGCATGGGTACATTCTGGTTTTAGAACTTTCACAGGCAGAAATAGCAGGCACAGTCCTGTGGCTGGGTAGCAGGATTGGTCACATCTAGGCCTCATGCTCCAAAGCCAGTGCTCACAACTCTTGCCTGTTTACAACAGACAGCGCAGCTAGTCCTCAGAGGAGTGGCTGTGGAGGGGCAGGATGCCCAGCATGAACTCCACGGGCCCGGGCGTGGTAGTGCCGGCATGGGCTCCACGGGCCCGGGCGTGGTAGTGCCGGCATGGACTCCACGGGCCCAGGTGCATGCTTTCAGTTATTTCTCCAGTGCTTCTGAGTGTCATGTCCTCATGTAGTAAATACAGGGGACATCTCATCGAGTGGTGACTGAGATGGCGTGTTCACAGGAGCATTCTTATTAGAGAGGAGGGGGCGCTGGGAGTGTGGCTCAGTCGGTAGCGGGCTTATCTAGGATGTACAAAGCCCTAGATTTGATTCTCAGCACCACAACGAGCCAGGAGTGCTGGTGACAACTGGAATCCCAGTACTGGGAAGGTGAGGCAGGGAAATTAGAAGTTCAAGGTTGTCTTTGCTCAGAAAAGGAGGGATGGTGGGAGAGATAGGGCTAGGAAGTTCCAGCCCCAGGAGGAACACAGACTGCAGTTAGGAGGGGGGAACAGGAAGGAAGGAGGTGGTGTGGGAAAGGAGGGCGGGCTTGTGGCCCAGACCAGGCCCCAGACCCATCAAAAGCTCCACGCTGTGCCTTACCGGAGCAGCAGGTGCACGCTTTGTTGATCTATGGAAATGTGTGTTTGGGGAGAGCCACAGCTGTGTAAACGCAGTCTGCTCTGTTACCTCCGGAGAAGAGAGGCACCCGCACTGCCTGGAAGCCCTGCTTCATCACTTACTTATTTTTCTGTAAATTCCTGATGATAGCTCAGAGTAAACACGAGGTCAGGATGTGGTGTTAGCCTCTGGCCACTGGGTAGCCAGAAGGAGTCGCTGCAGGGTTCTTAGGTTTGGGGACAGGAGCTGGTTCTCTCTGTCCCTTCTGGGTCCCCAGGACCGAGCTCAGCCTTGACAGCAAGCACCGTTACCCTCTGAGCTGACTCCCCAGCTGACAGGGTCTTACTGTAGCCGGAAGCTACTCTGTTGACCTGGATGACCTTGCCTGGCTCCTTGGTTTGCTATTGGGATTTTCATTCCAGTGTAGTTGATTCTCAGCACTGCTGACGCTGTATTTGCAAATCTGGTCTGTAACTACACAACTAACACTTACGCTCTTTTGTGGTTGTTCTCATACGTGCACAGAGAAATGGACGGTTTGACTGGCAGCCCCTAAGCATGCATTTCTAGCTGACAGACAACCGGATACTTGGCTTTTTTCTTTCTTTTTTTTTTTTTTTTTTTTTTGACAATCCCATGTCTCTCAAGCTGGCTTCAAACTCACTATAGAACTGAGACTGTCGGGCTGGAGAGATGGCTCAGAGTTTAAGGATGCTGACCGTTCTTCCAGAGGTCCTGAGTTCAATTCCCAGCAACCACATGGTGGCTCACAACCATCTACAATGAGATCTGGTACCCTCTTCCAGCATGCAGTCATACATGGAGGCATCACACTGTATTGTATACATAATAAATAAAAAAAATAAAAAAAAGAACTGAGACTGTCCTTGAACTACCTACCCTGTGTACTGAGGTGACAGTCCCACGTCTCACTATATAACTGAGACTGTCCTTGAACTATCTACCCTGTGTACTGAGATGACAGTCCCATTCTCACTATAGAACTGAGGCTGTCCTTGAACTACCGACCCTGTGTACTGAGATGACAGTCCATGTCTCACTATATAACTGAGGCTGTCATTGAACTACCTACCCTGTGTACTGAGATGACAGGCATGCCCCCACGCCCGGTTTTTTGCAGTGCCAGGGCTTGAACTCGGGGCTTTATGTATTCTAGGCAAACACTCTACCAATTGAGTATATCCCTGGACCAAACCCATCTTTTAAAATTCACACTTAGGGCTGCAGAGATGATTCATCGGTTAAGAGCACTTGCTGCTCTTGCAGGGGACCCAGGTTCAGTCCCAGCACCCACATGGTCATTCCCAACTGTGTGTGACTCTTCCTAGCCTGGCCTCTTCTCCTGTGGGCACTGCACACTCTAAGATGAGTGAACCCACTCTGTTTTCATCCACTTACAAAGTTGTAAAGTGACCACCATCTTCAGCAAGTCAACAGACTCGCAGCCGGGATCGGAGATCTGGCTGGTCTTCCATCTCTCTCTCTATGCCCCCTGACCTCTCTCGGATCTCTTTCAGAATGCCCAGGAGAACCATGGGCTGGCTGTGCCCACCCCTTCTGTCCCAGACGACTTTGCAGACAAAGAAGTGGGAGGTAAGAGAACTCTGATCTTGTGGTTTCTTCATCTTTCTCCCTCCACCTGCTCCATCTCCCCAGCTGGAGGCAAAGTCAGAGGCCCCGGCCTCTTAGCCCCTGGCTGAGGTGGGTGGTGGGTGATCTTCACAGTGGAGCCGGGAGGTGTGGAGAGCCAAGGTTGGCTAAGGCTCATTGGAGGACGTGGGGAAGGGGCGGGACCAGGTCACAACAGGACAGAAGGCAGCAGCAAGACCTCTGAGGTCAGACATGGATGGATGTAAGCCACTTCGTGTTAAGGTATCCATTCACACCTGGCCAGTGACATCCCATGTCACTCAGAGCAAAGGGTATGGAGGACTGCTGAGATCTCACGCATAGTTTCCCTCCCCCTCCTCCCACCTCTGCCCGCGTGGGGTTTCCTTAATCTGCCTAGGCAGTTCTCACCCCAGGGTCTGCATCTCAGCCCCCTCCTGCCATCTCTCTCCTCCACGATCACCTTCTCAGTGGGGCCTTCCTAATAAGATGGCACCCCTCGGTACCCCTCCCCTCCTGATTTTATTACTACCTTCACCGTGGTAATGATTTACTAATGTATGGTGTTGTTTGTCAGTCTGGTTGACCCCTTAATGAATAAACTTCAGGGGTTGAGCATATAGCAAGGAAGCATGGGTGGAGGCCAGAGGATAACATCACCTAGCATGAACAGGGCCCTGGGTTTGATCCCTGGAACAAACAAGAATAAACTCCAGTGAGTAGCGTCTGTCTTGTTTATTGCTGTCGGGACCCCAGGAGCTCCAGGTCTAGGGGAGCCTTCCCAGGAGCCCTTCTCCAAGCTTGCGGCTCTCTCCTATTTTGAGGTGGGGAAAGGAAAAATACATGTGGAGGAGGCTAGGGCCCAGGAGGAGAGGAATGTGGCTGCCGTCCAGGTGTCTGTCTCTGCAGCCACATTGCCCAGGGTACCTTCCTTCCTTTGCACTGTCACAGGCCAGAGCCTGCTGCAGAGGTCCTAGACCATGTGACAAATGGAGTGGGAGGCACCCTTTACAGTCAGAAGGGGACTGATGGCTCTTAGGACAGCTCAGGACACAGGCGGCATAGCTGCTTCCTCAGTCAGGTTTACGATGAAAGGGTTGAAGAACTAGTGTTTCTTTTGACCAACTCTGTGCCAGGCACAGAGATTGGCTTTGGGTTGGAAAGATGGCTCAGCAGGTGACCAACCAGAGCCGAGCCAAGTTTAGTCTCCAGAACTCACATGGTGGGAGGAGAGAACTTACTCCCATAGCTGTCCTCAGACCGCCTCAGCCATGCCATGGTAAACCCCCCCCCCCACACACACACACACTAAAGAAAGAGACAGAGAAAAGGAAAGCCTTGTTAAGAGAGGGAGGGAGGGGGACGGAGGCGGCTCCACCCCACATCTCTGCCTTCTTTCTCCCAGGTACCAGCTCACTAGTCAATGGCAACCTCCGACTCTACAGCTCTGTGGGCGACCTGAGGCCCGCACACTATGAACTGGACTCTTCCATCCCGCCACCTCCCCCAGGCCCAGCCCCAGGGCCACCCCAGGAAACTTCACAGCCTCTGGGGGAGTCCCCTCCACCACCGCCTCCTGCTATCCCTCCCCCTCCTCCTCCCCTGCTGGTGGAACCCCCGCCCCCGCCCCCACCCCCACCCAGCACAGCCCCACCTCCGCCCCCTGTACTGGACACCTTATCTCCCTCCTCTGCCCTCTCCCCGCCATCAACACCGACCCCTCCAGACTTCATCCCCCCTGCCCCGCCATCAGCTTTTCTAAACCCCCCTCCACCTTCTTTGCCAGCCCCAGGACCCCCAACTCCAGTCTCTCCTCATACAACTGGACCGCGTCTTTTCCCCACTGGGGGTATTATCAAGTGGAAATCCGAAGTAGCACTCAATGGCAGGCAGCCAGAAGACCCCAGAACCAGCTTCCCCAAGAGCCCTGCTGCACTAAAGGGGCCTAGCCCCGAATCCCACCTCACCTTCCCCAGGTCATTCAAGGTGCCTCCCCCAACTCCAGTCAGGACCTCATCTATCCCGGTTCAGGAAGTGCCAGGGGCTTCCCCAGAGGAGGAAGCCAGTCTGAAGGCCTCTACCCACCTCCCGCCACCCTCCAGCTTCAGTGTCCGCCCTGCGTCTCAGGTTTACCCTGACAGGGCCCCAGAGCCAGAGCACACGCCAGAGCCCAGGCTTGAGACACGAGGCAACCCAAGGCTCGGGCAGCCTGAACCCCAGACAAACGGACAAGCTGGAGTTCCACCCCCAGCTCCTCCTTTGCCTCCACCTGCTCCCCCACTCCCTCCACCAGCACCCTCCCTGCCCCCAGCTGCTCCTCCCTTGCCCCCACCTGCTCCCCCACTCCCTCCACCAGCACCTTCCCTGCCCCCAGCTGCTCCTCCCTTGCCTCCACCTGAGCAGGCAGTCCCTCCATCTTCTGGATTTATGAAGACCCCAAAATCCAGTTCACCTACTCTCAACCCCAAACCCAACCCCCCCACTCCGGAGGACACAGCCTCGTCAGAACCCGTTGACTGGAGGGACCCCCGGCAGATGGAAAAGCTTCGAAGTGAGCTGGCAGCCTATCTCTGTGGGACCAGGAAAGAGGATCGGTCACTCAGCCACAGGCCAGTCCCTAAGGTAGCCTTGAAGGACAGCGAGAGCAAGAAGGACCCTAGCCTGGCAGAGAAGGCTCCTCCAAGCCTGCCTGAGAAGACAGACCCCTGTGGTCCTGAGAAGAGTAACTCCAGCAACAGCCTGCCAGAGAGAGAAGCCACCAGCAGCCTGACCCTACCCCCTGTGGACTACATCCCCCAGGATACTCCAGCCCCCAGTGTCAAGCAGATCCGCAATGAGCTAGAGGCTCGGTTTTCCTCCTCAGCGGAGAAAGAAGCCAAGCCTAGCACAGCATCCCTGCCTCCCAAACCCCGGCTGGAAGGGGGAAGAACTTTTGAAAATGGGACTGATCATGGCAGATTCCATAAGCCTGTCACCAGGAATCCACCCCAGCAGTCTGCCACCGCTCTGCCGGCCACACCACCCAAGGCCACACCTGGGTCAGCCACACCATTCAAGCCCACGCCTGGGCAGGCCATACTTCCTAAGGCCACACCTGGGCCAGCCTTACCATTCAAGCCTACACCTGAGCGGGCCACCTCGCCCAAGGATACACCTGGGCAGGCCACAGCACCCAAGGACACACCTGGGTTGTCCATCCCATCATCTCAGCAGGTGGCGGAGAAAGACCTTGTCCCAGTGAGACACAGAGAAAAGCCAGAACCTCAAGCAAATGCAGCGGCCACCCAACTGTCCACAAACGGAGCCCGCTCCCCTCCAGCCCTCCCACCGAAGATGTCCACTGGAGGAGAGGAGGTACCGTTTCTGTACAGATCCCATCGCAGCCAGAACAGCCACAGCCGAGGGGTTGCTGTGGTGATTCCCACTCGGGCCAAAGGGGAGGCCACAGACTCAGGGGGACTGGCCGACGAAAAGGAGCCTGAAAACCATCCAGCCAAACCTTTTGCCCCAGTCCAGCCTGCTGACCAACTCCTCAGACACCCGGTGACTGGGGAGGTGGTGGAGCAGGGCTCCCCAATGGCCCTGCTCCTCGCAGCCAGGCAGAGGGCACAGAAGAGCAGGCCTGGGGGCACTGCAGGGACTGCGATGGGACCGGGAAGGTCCTCTCTGCCAGGAAGTCTCCGTGACCATGGCAACCAAATGGAGGCCAGCTCTGATACCATCTTTTACAGAGGTAGTCGGCCCAACTCCTTCCTTGTGGTCCCTAAGGTACCCAGTGAGACAGAGGGCTCCCACCTGACCTCAGCACGGCCCTCTGGAGCCAGTCAGTGGAAGCCCCAGCAGGGACGAGACACACAGGGCCCAGAGCCAACACATAGGCATGGGTGGACCAAGGCCGAGTCCCACGCCGCTGTGACCCGAGAAAGACACGCACCCTCAAGCTTATCCCAGGGCCGCGCCCTTCCCAAATCCTTCTCTTCTCCGCCCTCTCCTTCCTACAAGAAGGAAGAGGAAGAAGAGTTCAGCTTTGATATTATTCCGCCACCGCCAGAGTTTAGCAATGACCCTGAACCCCACGCTGGGCTGCAGCATCAGGACCGTCGTGGGTCCCCACCCAGGAACAACTACTCGGACTTGGGGCAGCCCCTGGACTTGGGGTCTGGGGCCAATCCGGCTCGCGACTCCTCGCGCTTTGCCGGCACTCAATACTCCGGGCTCGGGGGCCTGGATCGCTTCTCCGGCAGCGGACGCTCGCTCATCAAGAAGCGCCTGTATGTCGGGGAGCCCCACCGCAACGCCGGGACGCCCCGCGGCGCCACTGGCCGCAGCATGAGCTCCCCTAACTGCTTCGGACCGCAGCCGGGAGGTCCTGAGATGCGACGGGTCAACTCGGGGGGCCGCGCGGCCCCCGGAGGCCTGCACGCACGGAGGCTGTCGCTGGAGGGCGCCCGCGGTTCAGCCGAGGTCAAGTACAAGACGCCCGGCGGGGGCGGCGGTGGTAGTGGCGGCAAAGCTGGGGACTATGGCTTCATCCCTGCCAAAGGCAGCAGGTGAGCTGGGGAAGGATCTCCGGGGGTTTGTGACCAGGGATGCGTGAACAGAGGTAATGCCAAGGCCACGTCCCTAGCTTGCAACTAAGAGAGAAGGGAGAAAGGCTCAGATACATGGAGAGGGTGCTGTTGGCTGGCTCCTTACTTCCCAATACATCTCTTCACTCCCCTCTCGCCCTCTGGAGGTTCAGGGCTTCAAATCAGTGTAGAAGAAAGGGAGACCTAGTGGACTCAGGAGGAAAGATGGATCCGGGTGGAGGCAGGGAGTAAAGGAGTCTGAGTGAGCAGAGGGTACCAGGGGTGTTCTGCGGTCAGCAGGGCTTGTCTGATGCACTTGGTCCCACCCTGGAGTTCAGAAGTTCATCACATCACAGTTTAAAATGTTCTGTTCTTGGAGAGGTGGGTAGAGGGGGTCCATGCGAACCTTCACCACTCCCCCTTTACACTCCCTCCAGGTCTCCCCACTATGGAAGCCCCATCAATACGTTCACGGTGAGGCCAGGGACACGCCATCCCATCTCCTACGCCTACTCTGGAACCCATCGGAAAGCCGCCTCCTGAGCTGTGGTTCACTTTGCTGACTTCTAAGGGGTTGGATTGGGGCAGCTGTTGTGTGGGGGGTGGGAGGTCACTCTGGGTATTATAGGTCCCAGCTCAGACACCACTGAGAGCCTTTGTTCTCAAAGACAGAACAGACAGACAGGTGGTGTGTGAGTGGCAGAGGTCTGTGGAAGATGGAAACATGTCTGTCTCGAAAGCACCAAGGGACGGCTTGGCTATGTACTATTGGCAGATGGGGGTGGGAGGGGGAAGGAGGAGCTTTCCGGGCCTGCGCCTTGTCTCTGCTATCTGGTACTGTCTGCTTTACCAAGGTTTATTGAAACCAGTTTACACGCAGGTTCTAAAAGAAGGGCTGGGCCCCAAGTCTGAATTGAAACCCATGGGGGTGACATTTGTATGTCAGAGCCTCACACTGTGCCTGTTCCCCCGAACATGTAGTAGGTTGTCTCCTCTGCACTTGGAGATGCGATCAAGACTGCTTGCACAGTACAGAAGCCTATGCACTGGTTAGGTCGAGGGTGGGATCCTTGCTCCTTGGCCATGTCACTTACCCATGAGAGAGCTTGGGATGGGGGGTAGGCTTGCTTTTCCATCCAGGCCCAAGAAGTCCTGATGGGGGGTAGACCCAAGGAGCCACAAGGTCCAGAAGTATGCTGCCAACATGGAGACAGGTCTTGGACAATCAAGGGTAGTGTGCTAAGGCCAGTTCAGAGCAGGAGCAACCTGTCAGGATAGTCACCATCTGTCCTCTGCCTGGGCAGGGAATTGGGATATATTCTAGTATATGTCTTGGGTTATGTCAAATACATGAGGAACAGTAGTTAGTTCTTCAGGTGGGGACTGGCTGGATTCCTGTGACCAGGTCAAGGCAGGTAAGAAAGGAAGGGCAGAGGAATGGCCCACCTCACAAGAACAGAAGAAAGACAAGAGGAAGCTCCCTGTGGGGGAAGCAACCCCCTGTGGGGGGGAGCAGCCCCCTGTGGGAGGAGCTCTTGGACCTTTGTGATCTGTGGCACTAGCTGAAGTACTAGGTGGATGGCACCCAGCTGGTTCAAGCAGGGAGAGGGACTCCCTGTATTCACGAAGCCAAGCTCATCAACACAGCACTGGCCTCTGACTGCTTCCCTAAGCAGTGCTATGGAGTGTCCTGGGGTGGGTGAGGAAGGGCTTGGTCTCACTTGGCGTGGGAAATGAACAGCCAGTTTGGACTGGCCCCTGCTCTGCAGCTGGTGATTGGTGACTTGGAGCTCCCCAGGCATCATGGGGCTCTGGAGAACTCAGCTGGATGGCGCCAAGTACAGGGCTCCGGGCCGAGGGGTAAAGCCAGATAAACTGTCCTTAACAAGTTTGATTTTCTGAGTCTGTTTTTTCTTCTGGGCCCGGCGGTAATCCTAACTCAAGCCGCCGCGAGGAATGGAGGCAGCCACGGTTCAGATCCTGGGCCAGTCTAAAACCTGGCACTGTGGTACAAACCTCCGATTCCAGCACTGAGGAAGTGCAGGCAGGAGAAAGACAGTTTAAGGCCAGCTGGACTACATGAGATCTCACCTCTAAGACAAAAAACACAAGGATTTGTGAACAGAAGTAAAAATACAGTTTAGAAGAGGTGAGACAGCCGGGCAGTGGTGGTGCATGCCGTTAGTCCCAGCACTCGGGGGGCAGAGGCAGGTGGATCTCTGAGTTACAGGACAGCTAGGACTGTTGTTACATAGAGAAACCCTGCCTCGAAATAAATAAATAAATAAATAAATAAATAAATAAATAAATGCCTGCCTTGCCAGCGTAAGGACCTGAGTTCAGTGCTAGGTGGAGGGGATGGCTCAGCCCATGAAGGCCTTGCTTAAAACCTGGTCCCAGAGCCCACACTAAACCACTGTGCTTGGTGCCTGCTTGTAGTCCTGGCACTGAGACAGGGGTCTCTGGGACTCTAGGCAGAGAGCCTAGGCCTAATGTTTAAGCCCCAGGTCAATGAGAGAACCTGTCTCGAGGTGGACAACCTTCCTAAGGGTTACACCAGAGGCTGTCCTACAGATGTCACACACATACAGACAAAGGAACACACAAAAACATGGAGTTTTTTTTAAAGGGTTGGTGAGATGCCTCAGTGGGTGAAGCAAGTTGCTTTCTGGTCTGAAAACCTGAGTATGATCCCTGAGAGCCTCGTGGTAGAAGGTGAGAACTGACCCGGCAAGTTGTCCTATGACTCGACATGTTCCTCCCTGCTCATGAGCACAGAATAAAACACAAACAAAAGGTTGGCTGGGGTGGGGTAGGCACAAGTCTTTGATCCCAGCACCTGGGAGGCAGAGGCAGGAAGATCTCTATTCAAGACCAGCAAAGGCTACACAGTGAGACTCTATCTCAGAAAAAAAATGTGTGTGTGTATATATACACATATGTGTGTGTATACATATGGGCCTGGAGATGTGGTTTTAGTGGTAGAGTGCATTGGTTTCTATCTCTAGCAAGTCAGGAAATTGAGATAGGAGGATCACTATGAGTCCAGGGTCATCCTGGGATACATAAAGCCCATGTCATATAAAAAGGCATTTAGGGATATAGCTTTATGTAGTGCTGTCAGAGTACCTAAAACACGGGTCCATGCAAACTGTAGCGCTCTTATATTACCATTGGCTGAAAACCCCTGATGTGGCAGCCATAGCCAACAACACTAACATAACCCTGACGGCTGGGAAAGTCTGCTCCTTCTCTGGTTGCTCACTACGGTCCTAGCATCCGCGGGTGTGTAAGCCGTGTTTGCATTTCATTGATGAGGAAACCAGGCCTCCAACGCAGGAATCAAGTCACTCCAAATAGCCAGCCTGACTCACTCTGTGTTTCATCACAGCTGCCTTCCTTCCAGCCTCTCCCTCTGGCTCAGCCTTTCCTCTGTACATACAGCTCCCCACTCTACACCCTCCGTTCACCCAACACCGCAGGGCGGGGGCGGAGAGCCGGGAAAGCCACTCTGCAATTGTGGGCGGCTGAGGTTGACGCTTGTGTGCCTGGGTCTGCTTGGCCACACCTTAGCTGCAGAAGCCTCTCTGTGTGACCCAGCCTGGTCTAAAGCAGCAAGGGCAAGTTTTAAGGATGCCTGTATTTGGAGCCCAGGTCTACCATCCCTTAGGGTCAAGCTTAGCTTTCTCTGAGACAGACTCAAGAAAGCAAGCCTCCCTCAGTGGCGGATAAAGACTCCATATCTGGTTCCCCCCAACAACCCGTCGTGCTTTTTTTTTTCCCAGACAGGGTTTCTTGTAGCCCAGGCTAGACATGAACTTGCTACATTGCAAAGGCCAGCCTTGAACTCCCTATCCTCCTGCCTCCACCTTCCGCTGCTTAGTGCCAAATGCCCAGCTGTTTCATTTATTGTCTACATTTCTGCAGTGCTGGGGACTAAAACCAGTGGGACAGAGATCTTTTTGGACCCAAAAGGTGAGGGTTGCGCTGCCAAGCGGTCCTGTCCTGACCTGCCAGCTCCACCCACCTACCCTCGCAACTATGCCCCCTTTCATCTCTACAGCTCTACAGTTGGTGCCCGTCATTAGTCAGCTGTCTGGATGGGTGGCCACTGAGAGCCGGGCCTCATCCTGTACCTCCTTCCAGGTGCAGCAGACTTGCTTTGGGACCTCTTTGGTTGCTCTTAGCTAGGAAGGTGAGAGAAGAGTGTGGGGCAGGGACCCGTGGTAGCCTTGGGACTGGAACTGTGCAGAAGGGCCACTATTTGCATGCCTGTCACATTCGAACACCTGACAATGACACTTGTCATGACCGGCGCAAGCATTCTGCTGTTGTACATTGGTGACATCTCTTGGACATTTAATGCTGCTTCTGACATTCGCTCTCACCTGATTTCCCCGGCAGAAGGCAGGAGAGTGCAGCCCCCTGCAGTTTGCACTGGTGTCCTCCCTGCACCCTGTGAGTACGGACATGCAGCTTGCATCAGCCAGCAGGTGGCGCTGTGCTCACAGCTGCCTGTTGACCTGGTTTGCCCTGGGTATGGGATGCAGTAGGGGACTTGTGAAAATAAGCTTCTGGGGCTAATTTCTAACAGGTTCCCAGGTACGCATCTGAGAGGCACACATCTCAGCCCTCTCAGAGGAAACTACAGTTCCCACAGTACAAATGACCTTCGCAGGCCACATAGCTGGAGAGGTGGGAACTCCCTCCTTTCTGCCCTCTGTACCCGTGGCAGCATGGGGGATGTGGGTGTGCCTGTACCCGTCCAGATTCTTGTTCCAAGAAGGAAGAGAGAGCTGGGCAGTAGTGGCACATGCCTTTAGTCCCAGCACTTGGAAGGCAGGCAGATCTCTGTGAGTTCGAGCCAGCCTGGTTCCAGGGACAGGCTCCAAAGCTACAGAGAAACCCTGTCTAAAAAAAAAAAAAAAAAGGAATGAAAAGAAGAGGGTAAAGGGAGAGATAATTTGGGAACAGCCAGGAGCAGGGCCACTGTTAGACCAAGAGCAATTCCCTGGAATCCACACTGTTCAGAGGCATTTTGATTCCACATCTAGTCTCACACGGGCATCAGCTAGCTCTGTACTGTCCCTTTGGCACGCCCCCCCCCCAACACACACACTTCGTGTATGTGGGATGGAAGCCAGGGCCATGCGTGTTTGGAGCAGGCAAGTGCTCTACCCCAGAACTACATTCCCAGCCAGAAGCCCTCATACTCCCTATGCTAGAAGGGCCCCACTGACCTCTTTTTAGTCTTCCCCCAAGGAACTGTCCTTAGAGTTCTGTCGCCCAAGGCCATGCCCCTCCCACACTTGCTGACAGTCCTTTGTTCAGTCAGAGCAGTCCTGGAGGGTCACGGCAGTTGGGGGGGGGGGTTCATTTAGAGCACAGGCAGTCCCTCTGCCCCCCCTCCCCCTCCCCTGACAACCCTAGGGCACTTCCACAAGACTACACAGCAGCCTCAGCCTCCAGAGGGCTGCTCTCACAGCCGCTGGTTCAGATCCAGGCACTGGTATAAGTGCCTCGCCCATGTTCTTACATGGGGTGCTCCTGACAACCCCAGGACACAGCACCTCCATCATGAAACGGTGAAGAAACCTGTCCCTAGGTCAGAGCTGTGGGGCAGAGCCAGGATTCCTGTGTGAATAGTCAAGCTCCTGGCCTTGCAGGTTTGGAAACCCTCTCCTGGAACATTCAGAGAAATCACACAGCTTTCGGCAGTGAAGATGTGTTCTAGCCTGGGGAGCCTCTGCTGCTCACACATCTTTTCTAGCACTTTCTTCTTGGCACCTGGACGCACACAGTCCTGGTGTTAGATTTAAGTTCAATACCCTTATCTTGGGGGTTTGGTCCCCAACAGGACAGTGGCAACTGTCTGGAGACAGTTTCGCTGATGACTGTGAAGAAGCCCACCAGCCATCAGTAGGGAAGGCCAGGAATGCTAGGAAGCCAAGGTCCCAGGGCTGGTCCCCAGAATAGAGCCCCAGGTGTCAGTGCACTGAGGATTAGGAACCCTCTGCTCCTGGCTAGAGAGATGGCTCAGAGGGTAAAGCTGCTTGCCACCAAACCTGATGACTTAAGCTTCATCCTTGGCACACACATGGTGGATGGAGAACAGAGTCCTTCAGGCTGTCTCCTGACTCTACAGGTGTTGTGGTGCATGCAACACACACGAAGAAATTTTACCAGCATGGTCTACATAGCAAGAGTTATAGGCCAGCCAGAGCTATACAATGAGACCTTGTCTTGCAGCCTGGCTCACTGTGGTTCTACCCTGAGGGAGTACCAGTGTGAGAATACTTAGAAGCACACTTTGGTGCTCAGGGATGCCTGATGGGGACCGAGACAAACAAGCCGCTTCTTTCACAATCCTGAAGATTACCTTTTACTGCAGCTGGGCTCAGGGGGCACACAACTTCAGGCGGCCGGCATGGCGGAGCTCTAAAGGCCCTCTTTCCTTGGCCACGGGTCCTCCCTTCTTCCCAGCTCCTCTGTAACTATACACACCCAAGAGAGAAGTGTCAGGGGCTCTCTCCAGGCCAAGGCCATCTATGTGTGACAAGGACTCCAAGGAGCAAGAACACTATGACCAAAAGCAACTTGGAGAGACGGCTTTATTTGACTGAAAATTCTAGGAGAATTCTAGGAGAATCCATAATGACAGGTTCAGGGAGGCAGGGCAGCAGGTGGCAAGAAACTGAAAGACCACATCACATCCATACAAAAGAGACAGTGAACTAGAATCGGCCTGATGCCATAAGCTCCCAAATATGCCTACTCCAGGGACATACTTCCTCCAGCAAGGCTGCACCTCCGCATGGTTCCGTACCTTCCCCCCAAACACTCTCCTCAACTGGGGACCTGTGGGAAACGTGGCTCATTCAAACCATTATCAAGATACCCTGCTTTTTTTTTTTTTTTGGACAGGATTTCTCTGTAACTTTGGAGCCTGTCCTGGAACTAGTCTTGTAGATGAGGTTGGCCTCAAACTCACAGAGATCCACCTGCCTCTGCCTCCTGAGTGCTGGGATTTAAAGGTGTGTGTCACCATTGCCCAGCTTTCCTAGCCTAGATTTTGACAGTAGCCTTGTTGTGTGGAGGGATGTTATTTTGAGACAGGATTTCATGTAACCAAGGCTAGCCCAGAACTATCTATGTAGCTGAAGATGATCTTGATTTTCTGCCACCATCTCCCAAGTGCTGGGATTAGACATCTGTGATACCAC